TGCCAGGTCATTCGGATTTAAATTACATCGGAATGCAATAAAGTTCCTTCCCTTTACTGCATTTCACCATTGTATATTTCACCCACTTTAAAATCAAATTCGTCCTAGAAAGAATTGTGAAATTATCGTATAAATCGATAATCTGGCAACGTGGTCACCACTTGTTCATCCACAGGCAAAATCAATCGATAATTTGAAACCAAACGAGACAAATATATATGAAAATCACGAAACAATAAAAGACGGCATACAGCTGTATCACTGTTTCAAATATTGGTACCTCTAAACAATCATTTACCTATTAAAACCATCTCTAAAACAGAGTAGCTATATTATTTTTACGGTGACATCTTCTTAAAAATAGATGAACTACATGAACTATAAACAATTACAGGAATTCATAGAAAATCTCTAATTTGACAAAAAATTTATCAAATATTTGTTAATCGTATTCCCAGTTAGATTTGAAAAATACGCAATAAAATTTAGAAATATTTTGGTGGGATACTTGGAAAAATATGTAGAATGAAATCTCCTACTTTTTAGTCTCTGGTTTTAAAATCACTTTTTATGATTTTTTTTTTAAATTTAGTGAATAAACAGAACAAATAAAAAATAGGAGATTTCATTCTCCAAACCTTATACTTTAAGCTAGTAGAAGATTCATTTTAATACATTTAGCGGGATTTAAATGCAATCGGAAATGGTGAACCCTTGCTTCTTATATGAAAAATGCAGTGATACTGCGGCCTTAAGTTGATGACAGTTTTTGTATTCATTAAATAATAGCTATTTGTTGCGGCAATAATAAAATTATTAATTAGTATAATCCTTTTTTAGGCTCTGTATCGTGTACGAGGTACACAGTGCCCAGCAAGCAGTAGCTTATAATCATTTGTACTAGATATACCGCTAGAAAATCGTGAGTGTATGGACACCCGATCCTTCTACAGATAAACACAGGCGAGTCTGTTTGAGCCATCGAACATTCTTTTCAAACCTCTAACTGCCACAACCAATTACGAAATGTCTTATTTTATGTAACGAGTGAATCTTGGACGAGCAGAGCGAGATCCCGCAAAATGAACGAATTACACAAAACTGCATTTCGTAACGTGTTACTTAAAATTTGTTTCTAATTAGTTAATAAAATTGTATTAGATAAAAAATTACTGACATTCTACAAAGTGGTCCGTTATTAATAGAACACAGATCAACTATGAATTCCTGGTATAAAAGTATTGCAATATAAAACAATGTACCTTAGTTCAATTCTTGATATTAAAGAATATACAAGATGTTAATAAAATAAGGTGTCTGCTGTTATTGTTTGCATCAAATAAATGCTGTAGATGTATTAGAAATGATAACAGCAGGGGCGGTTTCTCCATTGGTTCATTTGTGCAGTGAACACCCAGTTAAATTTCATAAAAACACATTATTTTAATATTACATAAATAACATAAAAATATAAATTTAATTTTAATATTTTTATTTTCATAGGTGTTAATCTATATTTTTTGTACATCATTGTCTTCTGGCTGATCGCGTCTCTGTGTCACAGTATATCTAAGTATACTGTGTATGTGGCGCATTATAATAACACGAGTGAGACGATATGCCGAATATACGAGTATATAGCTAAAAAGAGAAGACAACACGCCAACAGATCCTTCAAACTGTCAAAGAACACATTAATTGGAGCGCCGCTCTCAAACAAGGTTGCCAAACCAGTGTTGCCAGTCTAGTACAATTCACAATTGTACTAGATGTAGTACTTTCTGCGTGCATCAGTGTTCACGTGTAAACTATATACAGTGAGCATCATAAGTCTTACCCCCCCTAACTAACTCCTTACTGGAGTCTTGTTAGGAAAATCGCCGAGACAGGTCGATTTTTGTTTTCTACAATGTACATTTTTGTATGATTAGTTTACCCTTAATTTCATCCCTTACTGGAGGGGAACAAGCCTTTCGAAAAATTTAAAGCATGGGGTGGTGAGTGATAGCTCAATTGAAAGGGGGTTTTATTCTCTATTCAACCGTGCAAAAAAAAATTAAATTTGCTGCATTACGTGTTGATTTATTAATGTTTAAAAATAACAAAACCTCACAAAATAGGAAAGCAACTAAACTAATAGTGACCTTCTAATGGCAAAAAGTCTTACTTCACGTCTGAACCAAAACCGAAATCATGCAGGGCCGAATTTTAATTCTAAGGATGAGTGCGCTACGTTAATTTCCGTTATTCTGAAACAACAATTAGTCGAGAATTAAGCAAATTTCAAATTTTTTACACGGTTGAATAGAGAATAAAACCCTCTTTCAAATGAGCTATCACTCACCACCCCATGCCATTTAAATTTTTCGAAAGGGTTGCTCCCCTCCAGTAAGGGATGAAATTAAGGGTAAACTATTCATACAAAAATGTACATTGTAGAAATCAAAAATCGACGTGTCTCGGCGATTTTCCTAACAAGACTCCAGTAACGAGTTAGATATGGGGGTAAGACTTAAGGTGCTCACTGTATATTAAAAATAATCTCAAATTAAGAAGAAAAATCAGTTTACAAACTAATAATGTTTATAGATGGTTTTCAACGTATTAAAAACAAAAAAAAATCAGACTAACTAAAATATTCATTTATTAATAGTTGTAGTGTTTGAAAACAGTATGATGTTGATAATAATAACTACACAAACTCAAATAATAAAAACAGCGATATTGACTCTTGTACAAAGTTTTGATCCGAACTTACATATAATAAAATTATTGGAAAAAGTGAACACCCATTTTCAATTACCATGAGCCGCCACTGGATAACAGTTTTAAATATTGGAAAAATTTTCGATACAATGTTTAGTTTTCAAAATATGTATTGCCAATTTAGTATCTTTATATGGCGATTTTGCATTTACTCGTTAAACAAAAAAAGTGCAAATATTGAAAAAAAAAAGTAATAGATTCACAGGACTGCTTCAAGTATGGGTCCTGCTTCCACCCGAGTTGTGGGGTACAAGCGAAAGCTATCAATTCCAAAGGGGTTGTAAATTGCTCGAAATAAGTGAGGTTAAGTCAAAAAAACGTAGTGAAAACGAAAACGACGATTATAGTAAGGATGAAAAAAAGCTGAAGAATATTATTCGGGATTCGTTCCACCAATTTTTAGGTGCCATCAAAAATCAATGGACAAAAAATTTGAAGACCTAGAGAAATCGGTTCAATGTATGTCCAACTCGTTCGATGAACTAAAAGATCAATTTAAAAGTGCCATGGATGAACTCAAAATAGTAAAAAAAAAGAAAATGATAACCTAAAAAATAGGCTTTCAATCCTTGAATCGAAAATTGATGAACTGGATGCAAAAGAGAAGATAAACAATATAATTATTATAGGTGCCCCTAAACAAGGGGATACAGACACGAGAATAGGTATGCTATGATTTGTAAATATTTGTCCAAGGGCAGGTGCGCTAAATAGATTTTGAATAAAATAATAAAACGTGCAGTTGGACAAGGTTTTATTAAATCATAATATTAAAGTATAGGGTCAAGAAAGATCAACAAGAGCTAAGAGTGGACTTTAAGGTCAGTCAAAAAGGCCTATAATCTCACTCTTAACAATATTATCAATAAAATCTTTTCGTTTATGCAAGTCCAGGTTAGCAACACCGAAATAACCAACTACTTTAGACTAAACAAAAAGGGGAACGGTCCTATCTTAGTTAAATTCCAGCACAATAACAGTAAAAGAGAGATCTTGACCACAATAAAGAAATTAAAAGGTATAACCACAGATAAATGTCGCCTCCAAGGTGCCAAACAAACAATTTATCTAAATGATATCTTCCCATAAACAACCGTAGGCTGCTTAAGAAAGTCAGAGATTTAAAAAATTAAAACGGCTTCAAGGCTGCCTTTTGCCTTAATGGGAATATATATAAAAAAAAAAGTGATCAGGATCCTCTGATAAAAATAAGATCAGAAAATGACTTGCAATAAATATATAATTTTATAAAAGTATACATATAAAGAATTTCTCAGTAACATTCACTACCGTTAATGATATTTTAGATGACTTCAAAACATGTGAGACAAAAATTTGTAATAATTTAAATCAGGTTACATCAGGTTATATAAGAAGCATCTACAAAAATTTTGACCAATTTCTTCTTTTCCTAGAAGCATCTGGTAGGCGTTTTGATTGTAATTTAAACATACCAGGTTACAAACTATGTTGGAATAATAACACACTAAATAAATTCGATGGTTGTATTGCATACATTACTGAAGACTCCTATCATGATCATCAAATAGTTATGAACAATAATGTGAAAATGACCAAAGCTTCAATATCCAAGGATTCTATTCATCTAGATATTTTCGCCACCTACAGATCTCATGCCATAGACAAAGATTATTTCATTGATAACGTTAACCTAATCTTGCAGGAATCATTAGTGGACCAAAATCGTATGTACATATCGACTTGCTTGACTTAAACTCAACATCAGCAATTATCATACAATGCTTCATAGTTATGAATTCGTTAGCATGATTAATAAAGCAACAAGAGTAACTGAAGATACAGCTACATGCATCTTTCATGAGATAATCCACGACCTCTACCTGGTCTAGTCTACGAGGAGGCTACGGAGGCTACTTTCGAAATATATATTTCTATTAGAATACAAAAAGAAGAAATATTACATTGTATTCTAATAGAAATATATATTTGTATTAAGTATATATTCAAAAATAGCCTTCTCATAGTTAAATATCAATGATTAAATTACAGTTAGTGAAATAAAGCTCAAATCTATTAGAGTTTCATTAAAGTTTACTACTAATCTCTAACTTACAGATACATAAGAGTTCGTTTGTGAATTACGCTATTAAATAGTATAAAAACGTGTGCTCTCTTACGAAACTATTCCTTTAATAACTTAAAATCTCTAGTATCAAAAATATTTTCTACGCATTTTTTCATTTTTTACTTACCTTCGGTGTAATTGCCCCGAATTCCTCAGGTTTTCCTTTATTTGAAGGAGTGCAAAAACGGTGGGTTGAATTTCTGGATAAAGATCTAGTCATCCTTCTTTCTGAAGGTCTGAGCGTTTTGGTACGCCCTCTGCTCTTCTGTGATGCGCTGCTAACTGAACGAGAACTCTCGGTTGTTAGGTATCCTATGAAATCACACAAAAAACACCACAACTAGGATTACATGAGGAAAGTAATGAGGTTAGAGAAACATAAATGCGAATGATAAGAAAGATTGGGTACTATACATATAAGTTTAGGTACGTTTACATTAAATTATGAGAGTTAAATACAGGTTTAATTCAACCAAAAATATTATGATTCAAAAATAAATTGTACATGCTTTAAGCTCATTATTTTTATTAATTTTATATTTCCCTTCAGTTTAGTAGGTTAAGTAGCATTTAAATGAAAATAAATCTACCCAGCTATGAAATAGGATTCTGGTATTTTTAAACTATACTCAGCCAGTTGCAAGAACGATTGTTAAAATCTCTCATTAGCTAATAAATCTATAACTTTATTGACTCCTTAAATTATCTCCTCAATGATAAATTTGGCAACGGCGTTTTTCCAAATGACAGTATTCGTGATACGTCCCTATCAAGAATTATCTCCGTCTTTGTCGACCCATTTAATAGAACACAGTGCAGGTGAACCCAAACAATGTTTTCGCAATGAGCGCAAAATTTACCACAATGAACGTCACTTCGCGTTACAATACCTGCAAAGAAAGTCGAGCGACGAGGAGAACCGAGACTAGACGAACTTTTGATATGAGAATTGTTTACAAAATATATAGTCTGTTGCAATTTATAGTAGAAAATCGTCTCTCTTTACACATGAAGGAAGGTTGTGTATTAGCCGAAACAGGGACTGTGCTCCCAAATGGACTTTAAAAATTTATGTTTTCTGGTGTTTGGGGAACAAACATGATAATATTAATATTTCGTAAGAATGTTTGTCAAATTATATTGTGAAGATAAAAAAAAGATTAAGAAAAGGGGTTTGATGATTGTGAGAGCGTTGAGGGTATCACATAGAAAAAGAAGTAAATGTGCAAAGTTACGATTTAAGGGACTATATGTGGTTGAGAATGAGGTAAATGGTTAATGTTTATGTGGTTGAGAATAAGGTCAGTAGGTATAGTTTAAAGTATTTGGAAAATAGCCAATTATGAGGAATATTTCATAACCATGAAAAATAAATCTAAAAAGTTAGTAGTTGAAGTAGTATAGAGTTAGAGTTAATAGTTACTAAAAAGTAGTTTGTATTGTATAAACAAAACAAAAATTAAACAAATCAATAACTTAGGTAAATGGGGATAATATGAACAATCGAGGGAATTTGAATATTTTGGTTAAACATTTGAAATTTATAAATTACAATTCATTGTTCATAGCAAAAAAATGTTTCAAAATTGAATGGTGCTGGTCAGTAAAAAAAAACTTTCTTTGAAATATTGTTAATAATTCACATTTATACTGAATTGATTGAAAGATAAAAATAAATATTTAAATAAAAACGTAATTAAAATTACACCAGGGGGATAGACTTGCAGCAGAGAGGACACCAAGGGGAAAACAAAGTTGCAGCAGAAAGGACACCAAGGGGAAAACAAAGTTGCAGCAGAGGGTGAGAGAGATCAGGGAAGTATATTGTTAGATTATATTTAACATATTTGAATTTGGCGCTCTTATAATCATTCGGTCGCTCACGCATGTGCGCCAAATAAGCGGTACTTGATCCAAAAGGAATGAAATCACCGCGGAAGTCACTACCTGACATTGATCGACAATCGACTTTATTAAAAATCTAACATCAGGTGTGGGCTACACGTGTATTTTCGTAGTTGTTTTGTGTTCCGTGAAATTTTGTGGTAGTTTTGAAAAACATGGCAAAGTCGTTTGAGTCAATTGTATCAATTTTGGAAACTTTACAAAGGCGTGTGGATATACAGCATTGATAGTCATGTATGGTAACAAAAAAAAAGGTGTTTTAAAACTTAATTTTGATGGTCAGACCGAGAAACTGTAAGTAGAGTTAGACCTTTTTTTTGTGGTTTTCCACATGGCAAACCCACTGAAAAACGTAAGAAAATTTTATTTGTTGATTGATTTTTCTGTATCTTTTCATAAAAAAAATAAATAAAATTCCGTTAGCTATCATAGCTCAGAGGCACGTACTTAGGTATGTCGAATATGTGAGAATTAAACTCAAAAAACTGAAGCGCACCCGAGCTAATTGGGTAGATTCGGTAGAAATTATCGCACATTCGATAAACGATACTGTTGTAAGAACTGTGACATATAATTGTGGTGCGTCATCCGTAAGTGATTTGATTGCATTCCTTGCTAACTATATAAAAGTGGCATCATTTGATAAAAAATTACCAAATTCAAACGAACAAAAATATTACTTGAGACAAAAAATTTCTAAACAATTCAATTGTTTTTCTTGCTGCATAATAGGTCATATATCCCGAGAATGTATAGTCATTCCATTATCAATTGCATCAATATTTAATATATACGCACTCATGCCAAATTTAGAAACGAAAAATAATGTTTACTCCCCTTATACAATGCGCTAAATATTAAACGAACGGTCAGTCCACGTGTACTTGATATATATATATATATATATATATATATATATATATATATATATATATATATATATATATATATATATATATATATATATATATATATATATATATATATATGTATAAAGAGTCATTCTCACCTCCAAAGTAGATATGTGTTGATCTCATTCACCTCCGAAATTACGTCGTGACTTCCGTTTACGGAGGTGATAACGTTTCGCAATATTTTTCACATTTTCGAAACATTTGGGTACTATAGATAGTATTGGCAAAAATTTGTCTAGAGGCAATCTTGACCCCGAATATCAGCAAAACGGTCTTTTAGTTCGAGTATAGATGACTGGCGCTAGTGTCGCTCTAAACTCGATAACCACAATGCGATAATACCTCCTGCTTTCGGATAGTATATTATAACCTCCGAAATAGCGACAACGTTGCATGCATCTTAAGATTACAATTAAATTCGTACTCGGTGAATTTTGTCACTGATATAAATGTAGAAAGGACTACATAATATATTGTTTCGTCATATAACTCGGAGCATTAGTTTTATAATAAAATAATGACATTTAATGATATTATACATACGTTTTGTGGTTAATACAAAATTATTACCGGGATAAAATTACTAATATTTATCTGAAAATTAGCGGTATTAAGGGCATTTTTTTTGATTATATTTCTTGTTTTTTTTTTTCGGTAAAGAAAAAAATACTATGCTACGGCTTCCTTAGTCCAGTTAATTATTGATAAAAAAATACGACTTTGCCTGGTTGCCTATCAAAATGTGACCGCAATTACTTTTAATAGTACTTTTTATTATTTTTACAAAAGTTATTTGCTCTCCCCAATTTTGGTACATAATTTTGGTAATTTATATGATTTCTCTAAAATGGACCGCAATGAAGAAATTTGAGGAAAAGAATACGGCCCATCTATTCAAAAAATCTGATGTGTCCAACACATGACTTTCCTATCTAGTTATTATAGGCTTTTTCCGGTTATTTTGTACAACCTATTGCAGCACCTCTATAAATATTTAGAGGATAAACTAAATATATACATTTTCCACATACATCTACCTCGAAACATTTTTCTATAGATGTTCATTGAAAACGAAAATACTGAAAAATTAAAATTTATCACTCTTCCTCAATTTTTTTATTACGGTCCATTTTAGAAAAATCATATATAAACAAAAATTATAGAGATCGATATCGCAAACAACTTTCATAAAAATCAGATTTTTGCACATTTTGTCAAATTTCTCGAATGCGGACCATTTCAGGAAATTTTGACGTAAAGCAAAAATTATAGATAATAATATTAGAAGTAACTTTTATTTGAACAATTTTCTTCTCCAAACATAAATAACAGACATATTCCATAAAATATAAAAACTGCTTTCCATAAAGTACCCCTCCCCCCAGATATTCCGACTTTGTCAAAAATCTAATCATTTCACGTCAGGCCGAAATAAAACTTAAGTTTAAAATTTAATGTTTTTTCTTTATCCGTTTTTGAGTTTTCTTCAAAATTCGAAATTTACACATTTTCTCAAATATCTCGAATACGGTCTATTTTAGAGAAATTATGTATAGAGTAAAAATTATAGAAAATTATATTACAAACAACTTTTATTTGAACAATTTTTATAAAAAAAATTGTTTTTTTCATTTTGTCAAATTTCTCGAATACGGACCATTTTAGGAAAATTTTTATGAAACAAAAATTATAGATAATAATATTAGAAGTAACTTTTATTTGAAGAATTTTCTTCTCCAAACGTAAATAACAGATATATTCTATAAAATACAAAAATTACCATCTACAAAGTACCCCACCAGATGTTCCGACTTTGCCCAAAAACCAATCAGTTCATTGAACGATGAAATAAAGCTTAAGTTTAAAATTTGGTGTTTTTCTGTGTATCTGTTCATGAGTTATGGTGGATAACAGACACACACACACACAGACATCATCGCGAAAATAGTCAAAACGGATTCAGGGGACCTCAAAACATAAAAATCCGTCGTAAACTCGAGGTCAAAAAAAATCATAATTTCTATACTTTCCTTATATCTGTATAGAGATAGGAAAGTAAAAAGTGTTTAAAATATGAATTATAGATAAATATTATTTAAAAAACTTTCATACCTTTATTGTCAACGAAAATACTAAAAAAAAAACAAATTTTACTGTCAATGAAATAATTTTCTTCTATAATCATAAATACTTAACAGAAATGTAGGTAGCTTGAAGTAGAAAACAAGTAAAATACTTGCCGCCACATTTTGATACACCAATAGTTTAGTAATATTTATTTTAAACTTTATTAAATGCCAAGAATGTTAGTTTTGGTGAATTTAATAGATCCATTTCGCATATAGCAATATTTTTACTATAATTTTAACCTTAAAAATAAGTATTTTTTTACTAATAAAAATTAATATTATTTTGTGACATTATTTTTTATTTTACTATTTCCCTGTTTAATAAAAACTGCAAAAATATAATGTTTAAATTTCTTTGAAGATC